CTGGGAAAGGAACATATCCGTCACACCTGTGTGCTCAGGATGAAACCGAGTGCAAGCCAGGTCAGGTTTACAGCAGMAATTGAAGCTGCTGAATCATGGGTGTTGAAGGTAACAGCAGGTTTGTGCAGTACAACATCGTGCGGAGTCCAGACACTACAAACAGGAACTGGCATTTGAAATTTGGCACTTGACAGCATTGTGCTGAAATACCAGTTTAGCCACAAAAAAGCAGTTGGATACACTAACTAAAAACTAGGCMTGAGCTATACTTCCTGCCTCTTAGACAGTTTGCTATTCCAGGYACAGTGTCATGGTGGTGTAAATATGCATCAATGGTCTGGCCTTTAAGTCTCCTTCATGCCCCTCTCCTTAGTCTTCCTGACCTAACAAAAGGCACATGGGGCAGCAAGAATACTTAAAACTTTGCCCTCTTTCTTAGACAAGGTATCTAGCAACTTCTTGACCCACTTAACTAGGTACTTAGCCCTATTTAGCTTAGTGAGCATGGAACTGGCACTTGGGCAGAAAACAGGTGCAGCTACCCCAAAAGTGARTGAGGCTGTGACTCGGTCATGTTTAGAGACCAAATAAACACCCAGTCAGCACACTCAGTTGACATAATCGAGTTTTGGGAAAAGAAATCAAACCTGTTCAAAGTATCTGTTTGGTTCAATTTCAAGCCAATTTTAGCCTTATTTGGGAAAAAAAATAATCACGGTAGGCAGAGATTGTAACTTACGCAATTTGCTACAGATTCCTGCTCTTACGTTCTCTGCTCTTTCTCTCCGTCCCCATCATCCAGGCCTTACATTGATTTAAGCATGGGACAACACAAGTATGGGAATATGCTGCAAAACTGCGATAGACCTTGTTTTTACCATCTTAGAAGCAGGAAGACAGGCAGCTGTGCTTGCAGACAAAAGGGAAAACAAGGATAGTCCAGCAGAAAACATCTCGTAATAGGATAAATTAGTGAATAGAGGTATTTTAGTATAAGGTCAAGTGAAGTAGTTCAGTAATCCTGAAAGAATTGCCTACCTCTAGTGATGATTTACACCTCACATACATGGCTAACACTGAACATCCTCATAAGCACAAGCATTTGTACATTCACAAGTATTTTATTTAGAAAAGTCAGCTAATTGAAAAGAAGTTCATGAATAAATTAGAACTGAATAATCCCTGCTAGAGCAGACTACATCATATGAAATCATAAGTAGCTGCAGGATAAGCTATTGAGACACAGTAGATAATTTCAAATCAAACTTTATATAAAACACAACATTAGCCACAGAGGCTGTGCAAATGTATTTACAGAGGTAAACTTGAGAAGCTATAGCAATAAAATAGTTTCACAGTATTTTTATACACTGCTCTTGAAAGTTACCTATAATGCATAGCTTGCTAGAGGAAGGTAAGTATTGCTTTTTCATTTAACCAAGTTTGAAAACACTACTGTTAGATACATTAGCAAGATAATAAGTTTAAAGACCTGTAGAGTTACAGATTCAGAAGGACAGAAGTGTTTTATCTTAGCACTGAATATCAAAACTACCAGGTTTACTCCAGTCTTATGCATCTCCTGAGTCCCAAATGCTTGTTTAACAAAAATAAAAAAATTAAAAAAAAAATAAATAAAAATGGTTATGGTCCAGCATTTTAATGTTTTGCATCTGGCAAATTCTAGAAGGAGGTAGTAAAGGCATCCTTTAAGGAATCTTTTCTGAGGTGAAGACCCRAGAAGCACGGCAGCGAGCCTAAAACAAAAAGAATTGCTTTAGTGAGGTGAAAGTATAACTTTATASCACCAGCTTGGAAAACACTTTAATAGACTTACCTTGTACACAGGATTATGTTTCACTTTAATTAACTGTGGGCTTTCAAAGTAAATTTAAAAAAAAAATTGTATTTCTTTTTTAAGTATTAATCCAAAGGGAGGAGGAAGTGGGGGGGAACAGGGAAAATACCACACCCCACACACATACTTTTCCATTCACTGAGCTCTGAATTTTAATCTTTTCTCTAACAGAGGAAAGAGATTTTGTCGAAGTGTCTTTTTGTTATTTCTGGTACRTTCAAAGGCCATGAAGCATTTGGACAATGTCTCCTCTCAAAATACAGCTGTAAAACACACCTGAGTAGATGAACTGGTCACCTGTACTTCATAACTTAATTAAAGCAAGCCACCTAGAAGACACCTTGGAATTAGAACATAGTTCCTCAGAATTTGTGCAGAAAAAAAGGAAGCTTGAAAGTTATACCCAACATACATGGCTGAAAGAACTGTGAAGGCTTTGAAGATGTGATCACCAACATGACTCATTTGGATAGGATTAATAAAATTCTAGCTGCTCAAACATATAGGCTAAGTCGATAGGAGCTTTGAAAATATAAAGTTCTAAGCACACTTAGAAATAAGAATGTACTGGTTCTGGTGCCCAAGCCAAGAAAATGGATGATTCAGACTCAGTATTAAGTGACTGGATGGATGACGGAAAAGCCGTGGATGTTGTCCACCTTAACGTCATGAAGGCTTTTGACATCATCTCCCGTAAGATCCTCATGGGGAAGCTCCAGAAGTGTGGGTTGGAAGACTGCATAGTGAATGAGGTGGATTGAGAACTGACTGGATGGCAGAGCTCAGAGGGTGGTGATAAATGGGGCCGAGTCCAGTTGGAGGCCTGTGGCCAGTGCTATCCCCCAAGAGTCAGTACTGGGCCCGGTGCTGTTCAACCTGTTCATTGATGACTTGCACGAAGGCACAGAGGGCACCCTGAGCAAGTTTGCAGATGACACCAAGCTGGGTGGAGTGGCTGACACTCCAGAGGGTTGTGCTGCCATTCAGAGGGACCTGGACAGTCTGGAGAGTTGGGTGGAGAGGAACCTCATGAGGTTCCACAAGGACAAGGGCAGGATACTGCCTCTGGGGAAGAATAACCCCAGGCATCAGTACAGATTAGGGCTTGAACTGCTGGAGAGCAGCTCCACAGAAAGGGACCTGGGAGTCCTGGTCGACAACAAATTAACCATGAACCAGCAGTGTGCCTCCATGGTCACAAGGTCCAGTGGAGAGCAACCAAGATGATTAAGGGATTGGAGCATCTATCGTACGAGGAAAGGCTGAGTGAGTTGGGCCTGTTTAGCCTCGGGAAGAGAAGGTTGAAAGGAGACCTGATCAATATGTGTAAGTATCTGAGGGGAGAATGTATGGAGGAAGGGGCCAAGCTCTTTTCGGTGGTGGCCAGTGACAGGACAAGGGGTAACGGCTACAAATTGAAACACAGGAAGTTCCATCTCCATGTGAGGAAGAACCTCTTTCCTATGAGGGTGACAGATCTCTGAAACAGGCTGCCCAGGGAGGTTGTGCAATCTCCTCTGGAGACCTTCAAAACCTGCCTGAATGTGACCATGTACCACGTGCTTTAGGTGCACCTGCTGGAGCAGGGGGTTGGACTAGATGATCTCTAGAGGTCCCTTCCAAACTTAACCGCTCTGTGATTCTGTGTATTGTTCTTCAGCTAACAAATGCTGATACCCRTCATATAGCTTCACAAAGTTGCTCTTAAACAAACACATAAGCTTAATATACACATGCATAATGCATCATAGAAGATTTAGGAGCTGTCAAATACATCAAGATTTTTTAATCCTATAATCACTCTACTAATTGAGAAAAAAAAACAGAAGGTGGAAGGAAGAAGGGGACTGAAGAAGCAAATCATTAACTGGACAGTCACAAATACACATTTCTGTATGAAAATAAAGAGGTAGATGCTCTTAAATTGTCACATGTAGTGTCTTTTTTTTTTTTTTTAAATACTTACAGCTTTTTCTTCCAGTGTGAGTACACCATCTACAGCAACAATCTGGTATTGCTTTTCTTTTAAACTACCCACAAGTCTCCGTAGCAGTTTGAGGCTAGTACCATCACCACTTTGTTTTAACAGTTTTTGCATTTCTTGTGAAGAACATCCTGGATCAAACAGTAGTAAACACAATGTTCTGTTCTTCCTCTCCTCTATTCCAACAACAGTGCGACTATGACCTAATTACAAAACAGATTTTCAGTATTTAAAAAAAAAACAAAAACACACCTTTCTTTTTAAATGAGCTACCTGCTTTCAGAACAAGCAAAATGCTAGTTCAAAATTAAGCAAGTTATCATAAGAAAGAGCAGCTGTCACATTGTACAGACCTCCATCAGATCCAAGATTTCCATCTGTAAAAATAACTGGTTTTGTTACATTTTTCTTTAGTAAGAGTAACAAAAGCTATCCATATTTAGGATTACAAAACATATAAAGAAAGATAGAATACATTAAGAAGCTAAGTTACACGATGCTGACCTTGGTGCTGCAGGTAGATAGGTGGTCTGGAAGTGCACACCACCTTTGCACTGCCTTCATTATCTGCAGAATAGTAGCGCAAAATCCACTCAAGTAAGCGGGGGTGCGTACCCATGGGACCAGTTGGTTTGTGAAAGTCAACAATTTGACACCTATAGAACAGTTAAAAAATTCCCACAGTAAAATTTCAGCCAGACCAGGCCATTAAAAAACACAAATGAACAAACAAATAACAAACGGTACTTTTTGTTCTCTCCATCTCAATGCTTCTGGACCAACAATATTTTTATAGACCTAGAAGTTGCAGTAATTGAGTGGTGGTTGTCTTTTTTTTTTTTTTTTTTTAAAAATACAGAAGTAAAGGACAAATATAATGACAAACCAAAGTGATACGTCTTGTTCAAAACCAGAAGACTTACTCTGTGACACAAACGGTACTCTACTCAGCGTAACAACAGCTCACAAAATTAATGGAAATGAAAGCTATTTTGATCTTTGCATAAGCAATATATGTATATCACATAACCCAATTAACAGCTTTCAGGACAAGCAAGCAAATAGTTTAAACTCAATTATTTTTAAGCAAAAAAACAAATTTAATGATTGCTTAGCTTTACACATGTACGGACAACTTTTCACCAGGTTTAAATGCCACAAACAAGTATCAATATAAATATATCTGCATAAGTAGTTACACTGCTTTATGCTACATTAACTAGACTTTATATCTACAAACAAGCTCAGCAATTAAGCAACTAAGCAAGCTTTTCATCATTCAGTCCTGACATTATAGAGGTATATGTATAGTCAAGGAAGAGGAAAAAAAACAAAATAAAAACCACACAGAAACAACTTACTTTATTCTGAGGCTAGTTAAGAGTGAATAAATTTCACATGCTCCTATCCATGCCCTGGTGCCATGTAATCTGTTGTTGAAGTGAGATGCCCCATGAGGATCAAAGCCTTCTTTCCAGGCATCTTCAATCATGGACTGAATCTTTGGTATACTAGGTGTTAGCACAATACCTGAAACAGAAAACTTCTGGTTTGATTACAGATACTGAAATAGTGAATTAATTACGAATATTCAGCCTCTCTTATAAGAGGCCAATGRTATCATCGAAAGATACACCTGAAGCACTATGCTAAAACCTCAGCCACATCATGCCTTGCCACTATTCACTSCTCAGATTCTTTCCACTATAGGTTCTAATGGTGCAGCAAGCATTTAATAGCTATTTTTGGTCTAGTAAGCTTTGATGCTTTGCCTTTTCATTTACACAACAGATAAAAGGCTTGTCATCTACGGTACATGTAACGAACAGGCTGTTCCGATTAATACCTCTCAAGCAGTCATCATATGAGCTGTTTTGCAACAGTGAGGAAAGGAGCATTTGGAAATTTCTGTACCCGCAACCCCAGCCTTTGTCGCCCAAAGATGAGTGGAAATGATCTACTGATGCAGAGAGCCATACACGTCTCACATCTTTGTTTTCACTTTGATAGTACTTGCACAATGCTTCAATGACTCCTAGAAGATGAGCAGAAACAAAGTTTATACCAATTAAATGAATTACAGAATCTTTCAGAAATTGATTCTTTCCCAACTAGAAAAAGATTGGGACAATTCATGTCAAAATTTCTAACTGATCYTACATGAGATCTAGAGAACGAATCACAAAGACACTGGACATTATGTCTCTTTCAGTCTTACGCTCTTTATCTTGATGTATCTATATCCTATGAAGAACATAGGAAGCAGGGTTTTTTTCCACTGCTTCTATGCAGATGATATTTGAAATTAACAACTTTGGTGACGCATAAATAGTAACCTGCACAAGAGCTATTATTATGATAAAGTACTATCAACAGTTTAGCACTTATCTCACCTGCACCTCCAATATAACAACTCTTACAAAGACAGAAGTACTTATGGATGCTATGAAACTCTTCTGTTCCACTCCAAGTCACTACAGCCCAGGCCTATTAGGCCTCTTAGTTGCATAACTTCAACAATTTACCTGAAGTCTTTGTTTTTCCATCATCTATACCAAAAGCCAGAGATTCCATCATGTCAGCTTTTCTCTTGTGATATTCAAAAGGCTGCATTCTTCCTCTGTCAACTGCCCTTTCCATATTCTTCACCCATTGGTGCTTGTAGCCTCCAGAATTATCCAAGCCATATTGTCTCTGTTAGGAATGGAACATACATTACTTAGACTACATTTGTTTTTAATCTACAATCAATAAATAATGCAAACTTGTGTACGTAAATTACAATTTAACAACCTGTAATGTGGAAAAAAGTAAAGAGTGAAAAAGATATCTCAAATCATCATTTTAGAGTTAAAGGCCAAACTCCACTCCAGACGAGGACTGCAAGCCTAGGAGAGGCACCTCTGGAAGAGCAGGCATCTCCTTCTGCCCTCTTTTGGCCAGAGCTCCACTGGCACAGAGGTGGTCAATAGCCAMGAGGAAGGAAGAGAGGGCGGTGAAGCTATCAGAGCTGCACGGTGGGAGGGAGAAGGACATCCTGAGCTAGCATGACAAGTCTGGACACGTACCAAGCATGTACCAAAGCAGGCAATTTCTTCAGATAGAGCCGCTCAAGGACTCAGGTAATACATTTCAGGCTGCCCTGCAAGGAAGGGCAGTGGAGGAGCAGACACTCTAAGGCAACGCAGCATGCACAGCCCCAGTGCCAGGACTAGGGTGGCTTAGGACTTGCACCTGCCTACAGCCCGCTCCCATACCTCTGTTTCAGTCCAGCCTGGCTGATTGTGCAGGTCTGACCTGCTATGGCCATTCTTATTTTTGAGAAGCAAAATACTGCAGTTGCTAGGTGTCAAGTTTATATAATTGCATAATTCTTTCAAATTTTATTGTTTAGACACATTACTATACCTGTAGCTTGTTAAATTCTTCCTTCTCTTGCCTCTCCTCTTCTGATCTTTGCTGTTTATCTTCTTCAAGCTGGAGCTGCTGAGCCAGTTCTAGATCTCTTAAGTTTCCACCTACTCAGGAATAATATTTTACAGAGAGAAGATTTGATCAGCAGGTTAAAAATGCTTTCAATAATCATTTGTTTGACCTTTAAAAATGCTTCTATAAGTAGACATATATAAGAATACCTATGCATTAATTTTAGGAAATGCACCCCATACCATATTGATATACTAGCAAAGAACACTAGGTAACACCGATGACATTCAGCCCACTAAGCCTTAGCTTCCCACTTAGACAAAGATTATGCAGGATTAAAGGACAGTTACTTGGCAAATAACGCATGCAACTCCATCACTGAGAAAACACCTTGCACTTCCTCTTTTCACCTGGTATGTGTGCAAGAAGTCCCAATTTACTAAGTATCATAGCTCCTAGAATCATTGCTAGCAAACTCATAACGATGAAACAACAAAAAGAGATTTAAGGTCAGAGAACTGGACGGGAAACCCATAGGAAGGAAATTGTGCTTAAAAAAAAAAAAAAACCCCAAATTTGAGTCTTTTCCCTTATCACTATAGCTAATTAACCAAGACAAGCATTTAGAGAAAAGAATTGAGAATAAATTAGAAATTTTAATAAGTTGTTGCTTCTAAACTCATGTCACACTCACGTAAAACTGGTAAACTCTTGTACCAGTCCAGGGTTCACATTTGTAAACCTTTGATAGAGCTGAAAAAGTCTTTTTAAACATTCCCCCCTGCACACACACCAGGCTTTTATTTTGCCCACAATACAGTTCATTTATTTTATAAGCATGCACAGACAGAGACTTATTTTAGCATGTGTAATTAAGCAAAGCACTTAGCCACATGATATGACTTAATATTAGCTATATTATTATTATTATTTCTTTTAATAATGAAATACATAGTTGAAACTTTGCCAGAGACTCTATACCACAACAAGCAAATAGTTTAAAATACTTTCAAATACTATCAAGCTTGCATCTACTCAGGTACCTTCTGAGAAGCTTTGCTCCTCTAAGTGTAAATCCACATGCTCTTGGAGAACCTGAACATTTGTACAGGTAAGACAGCACATTGGACACTCAAAGAGCTGTTCACCACCTCCTGTGTTTGAAAAAGAATTGTGGCTCCATGTTTAATTAGCTTTCATGATTTTTTAAGAATCATCCCTTTCGTTGATGTATATCGTATAAAAATACACAATGATAATTTTTGCACTATCAAATTTCCCAGGGAAAGGCAGCAAACCCCAAAACAGCTCTCTTAATCCTTTTACTCTACAGCATATATAATTCAGGACTCATATTTAAGAATTTATATTTAAATGCTTCAGGAGTTCATCAGAATGGATTTTCCTTCTTTCCACTAATCAAGCTTTGGCCCAATTAACTTACAGATCACTATTTTCTGTAATAACACTTATAGTAAAAATACAAAAAAAAAAAAAAGTCTGAAATGACACTTTAACAAAAATATCTATTCTATATATCTTTCTAAAGGATGAATGCTTGCTTGCCATCCTTTAGCACTTATAACACAGCACCTGCTGCATTAAACATGGATAGAAATAAAGTAAAAACACCTTCTCGTTCTTATTTTGTCCCTATATAAATAACCTGTCTGTAGCTTTMGGATTACTAAAGGGCACCACAGACTCTTGGCACAGCGGAGCTCGAACAAAATCTCGGGCAACCACCCAGCCGGGTCCCTCGCCCAGAGGGGTCAGCAAGGGCAGGGGAGGCTGAGCGGGGCCACGTCCAGACCGGCTGTGGGTATCTCGAGGGCTGCAGGCTCGCAGCCCCAAGGCCAGCGCCGCGCTGCCCGCCCGCCCGGGCCGGCCGCTCACCCGCGCCMGCCGCCGGGGCCGGCGCAGGCCCAGGCCCAGGCCCAGGCCGCCCCGCCGGCTCCGGGTGCCGCTCCTCCACGTGCCGCCGCAGCTCGTCGTAGCCCGGCGCGGCGGCGCCGCACAGCGGGCAGCGCGGCTGCCGCTCCAGGTGCGCGCGCTGCACGTGCCGCCGCACCGCCGCCTCGGACGGCAGCGCCTCGCAGCAGATATCGCACACCGGCATGGCGGCGCCAACGGCTGCCAACGGCTGCCAACGGCCACTCCCGCCCCAGCGGGGAAACCAAAACCCCCGCCGCTTCCGCCCAGCACCTGCCCGAAGCTTCAGGCGGCGACGGAAGTGCGTCGCGGGGCCGCGCGCCCGGGGCATTCTGGGAGCCGTGGTGTTCCCGCGGAGGTCCCTGCGTGGGCGTCGCTCCGGCGCCCCTCCCTCCCGCCGCCCGCGCGCACCCGCCGGCGCGGCGCGCAGGGGCTGCTGGGAGCGGGGCCGCTCAGCAGCCGGTGCGGCGGTGTCCGCCATCTTGGGCTACCGTCTGTCGCCGGTGCCGCCTTTCGGGTGGAGCGGAGCGGATCGTTTCGCCAGGCGGCGGTCGAGGCGGCGCTTCCCGCCTCCGCGGCGATGGGTGAGAGGGGCCGAGCGCGGGCGGGCGCTGTTCCCGGCGCGGGCCGGTGTCCTCGGCCCGCCGCGGCCACGGGGCGGGAGGCGCGGGCAGGGCCTCCCCCGCCGGCGGCTCCTGGCCCGGGCGGCAGGGAGGGCGCCCCGCGTTTAGGAGACCGGGAGGCACCGAGGCTTCTTCCCCGGGCCCGGTGAGGGCACCGCAGGTGGCGGCGGCCCCGGGGAGGCGGCTGGAGGGGAGCGCGGCCCCGCGGAGAGACCTTCAGCGTCCTGCAGATCCGCAGGCTAAAGCTGTGGGGCTTGGGCAGGACTCGTAGTCTCTGCCGCCTTGTGAAGCGTGTGTAGCGTCTGCGTGGGCACGGTATGTTTTGGTGACCTTTCCTTCCCGAAAGCGGTTTTGGAGGGAGCGCCCTCCCAGCTGATGGGGCTGATTGAGGAGCTAGCTGCTGAGGTGGATGGGGTAGCTTTTCACCCAGCATTAATGGTGGGTTTTTTGTGTCTTGGCCTGACAGTTTTATTGGCACAACTGAGTTGTCAGGGCCCGAGTGATTAGAGAGGTGGGGTGCGCAGGAACTGGTCGCGCTGGTCTTGTTCAAAATTGTGCCTTGAAAGTCCCAATACACGAAATCCCTCTGGCAATCTGCGGCATGGTCCAGAGGTGGCAGTAGTTCACCAGGACTCTCAGCAGTTCAAGGTGCTGGTGTGGAAGAGGCTGCTCGTCCTCCGGATGTCTTCTGGATACCAGTGGGAATCTGCGGACAGGTTTCCTTTCGTAGCTGCTGATTATTATTCTGCAGCCATGGGTGCTGATATAACCAAACCGCAGCATGGAAGTGGATAAATAGAGCACTGCGCACAGCTGTAGTTCAAATATTCCTATGCCCTGCTTGTTCTTTTCTTGTGAAAGAATCCCAGACAGTTGGGAGCTTGCTTAGAGTCCTGAATCGTATTTTTTTGGCAATTAATTATTTCCCAGATGAAGGCTTCAGTTTCAGCTTTAAAAACAAGTGTGATACTATTAAACAAACTTTGTCAGATACACTTGATCATTTGCATGACAGAATCATGCTGCATCACTTTCATCGCTCCAGAACCAATATGCCAAATATGACAGGCAGATACTAATCTTTGTTATACATCAAAAGAGCTGTTAATTACGATGGATCAATCACTTTTTAAATTTAGAATGGAAAAGGATAGACCTATCAGGGTGCTATTGACTCTTTCTCTGTAGAGGTTTTTATTTGTTGTTGTTTTTCTTTCCTGTATATACATGAGATGGAAAATGTGAGAAAACTATTTGATCCTATGATATGTTTTAGTGGCATCTTAAAACACAGAAAAAAAACCCAATAAAGTAAGATGTCAAATGAAGCAGCAATTACTGTAGGTTTTCTTCTTGATTTTTTTTTTTTTGATACATTTAATATGTCCTCTCAAAAAAGAGGAACCAAATTCCAACACATGCTCACAGTGGCAGGCAGTTATTGTCTTAAATCTTAGCTCAAAGCTTAGCAATGCAGTGTTCTTGCTTTTTATGTCTCATAAGACTAGTTACTTAATTTTATAGCAGTTACATCTGTTTAATTGTCTGATCCATGAGATGAACTGTAGTTTAGTCTAAGTTTTAAAAATGCATGCAGAGATAGTGATTTTTCTTTAATTTCTATTTTGGAAACTTTTAAAATTGACTAGGCATTGATGATAGCTACAGGAGATACTCTAGATACTCAAGGCTTGGGCTTTTGGGGTAATTTTTTTTTTTTAATAGACAACATGGCAAGTCCAGGGAAAGATAACTTCAGAATGAAAAGCTACAAGAACAATGCACTAAATCCCCAAGAAATGCGCAGACGAAGAGAGGAGGAAGGAATCCAGCTTCGGAAGCAAAAAAGGGAAGAACAGGTAAGCCTCTCAAAGAGATGTTAATTGTTAAGGGTTTGTGAAGTTATATTCAGCTCTGTGAAAGGATATTTCTTCCGGGAGTGGAATCCAGAGAACCAGGTTAAATCTGTTCTTCTGTGCAGTCTTGGTGAGTGCCAGGCACCTTTCAGTAAGTCGTAAAACAAATGGTGAACCAAGGCCCCCTTTGCTCCCATTGGAGACTACCAAGGAGAGGTCCATATTTTGAGTTTAATTAATCCATAGATTACTGTTAAATCTCAGTTTAAACATGCAAGACTATGGTGAGGAGAATGTCTTAATTCAAATAAAGTTTCAAAACCCTGCATTCTCTTTTAGCATTTGGGCCAAAGTTGTACTGTTAAAAGTGAGTGTTAAAAGTGACAGTTGTCTTTGAACAACTGCCTTAACCTGCTCAAGAGCTTTTCAAAGAGTAGTTTAGTACCGTGGCTATCAAATGGAAGTTGTTAAACTTTTATAAATGATATTTTTGGTTGATATTGGAATTTTAGTGATGAGAGTACATAGACTTTTGTGTAATTTTATGGCTGGTGTTAGTCCATCTTCCCCAAATATTTCTGAATTCCCTTCCAGGAAGGTAATGAAAGTAGTCTGATAACTATCCCCAGTCTAAAGTGGGTGGCTTTTGTTTCCCACCACCTAGAGAGAGATGGGAACGCTTACCCTTCTCCTGGGAAAGTGGTGTCACTATGTGGAAAAGGTATTTAAATTAGTTGGACCTGAGATTTAGGACTAAGTAATCGTATGGTACTGGAGCACCGGTGAAGGGGTTCACCCAAATTTCACTATCTGTTGATAGGGTTGTTTGTGTATTTTTATATTAAATTCTCCCCCAAAATAGGTAAATTACCAAAAAATGAGTGTTCCTTGTCTTATATTGAGTATTATCAGAATACTGTTGTATTCTCTTTATTCTTAATTTGTTAGACTAGTATTTTTAGCTCCCCTCACATGGAGAGAAGAAGTCATGCAGGAAAATGAGATGGCTTTTGCATCAGAAAAACTGAAAGGCAGAGCAAGTTGGTGAGCAAAAGCAGATAACAGGTTTCAACCAAGAGCTTTCTCACTTTTGCTGAGTACTGCAAAGAATGGCTGATCTTAGGAAAGAGGAACATTCTCTCTCCTTCCATTTTTAGGTTTCAGTGGAATTGAGTGCAGTTGTTCCGTGTCCAGAATTCTGCTGAATCCAAAAAAAAAAAAATCCAAAAAGTGAGGTGTTGAATAAGAGACATAATGCTTTGTTTTTAGGATGCTGCTTGACTTTTGATGTGTGGGTAGAGTTGCTTAAGAAGGCTTGGCCATGTGCAGTAGCAGAAATCTAGGTGTCTAGACAACTTTGAAGACCTTTGGGATTCAGTAGAAGTCTCATTATTATGTTTAAGAGGTGAGATCATTGAAAGTTAATGGATTGGGATTTTAATATTTATTTTTGAAGATATTAGCATAATATTCTTTGACTTGTTAATTGTTGTTTAAGCATAGGGGTTGAAGCAGATGATCTCCAGATGTAGCTTTCAACCTCAATCATTCTGTGTAATTATAATAGTTGTACTGTATGTAGTGTAGTACTGAACTGAAGATAAAAATATAGGTTTGGCTTCTAGAAGCAAAACAGGCTGACATGAATGCCCTGTTTGTATGCCAGAAAATGAAGAGGTACCTACTAAATGAAATGAAATGAAGCATACCTACTAAATACATGCAGGTATCTATTTAGAGTGTAGGCAGTGTATAAAGCCAGTGTTAAACATTTATGATATTCAAAATCACTTTAAAGATGTGCATCTTCATGCATCTTCAGAAAGTTCACCTTGAAGCCACACCGTTTTCTCCGTCTCTATTAAAATAATGTTTCTTTTTTAGTTTTTCTACAACTGTAAATGTGGTTACAAATTAATTATCCTAATATAGAAGTACATAGATCTTAGACTTTCTGTGCTGAATGTTAAAGGAGGGAATGCAGTGTACAGAAACAGGAATCCTACCTCTGTCTTGATGATTTTAGCTAACAAACAATGTAAAGAAGAAGAAACAGTGTTACAGCAGTTAGTTGTTTTTTTTTTTTTTAAGTGCTGAACTGCGAGGAATTAAACACTAAAAGCAAAAAGATGTGTACTTTGTTATTGTTTTTTTTCATGTGAAAAATGTATAAATCTTTTCTAATTAAAAAGAGCTCAAGCATTTAAGCATTCCTCTGATGTGGTGCAGTATTGTTTGTCAAGATAAAGATGTTGTGTTTTTCTCTTTTATACTCAGTCAACTTTAATTTAGATTTCTATTTGTATGTCTGAATAGGAAGGTGAGCAGCTAAAACACAGCTGTCACTGGTGAAAGCATTTCTTCAAATGCATGTTGTTACTACCTATTCTGTGATCAACTTTGACATCCCCACAAATTTCTTCTTTGTTTAGCTATTTAAACGCCGAAATGTTGCTCTTCCGGGAAATGAGGAATCTATGATAGAAAGTCCAATTCAAGATCCTGATGTCAGCTCTACTGTACCTATTCCAGAGGTAAATACTTTTGCATGTTTTAAAGATACTATCTTTCATATGATTAATTTAGACATAAGAAATTGTTCTTTCATTTTTAGGAAGAAGTTATTACAGTAGATATGGTTCAGATGATTTTTTCAGATGATCCCGATCAACAACTTACAGCAACTCAGAAATTCAGGAAATTGCTATCTAAAGGTACGTAAACATTTTCTGATTTTTTTTTTTATTTGTTTGTTTTGTTTCTTTTATGCTGGTATTACAAATTTTAGTCACTTAGAGGCTAACTTTGTTCTGCTTTAAAAAAGAGCTTCCTGAAGCTTCTAGTTCTGTTTATGTGGAAGCAGTGCCAAGTCCATTCCAACATCATGGCCAAATACAAAAAGCTTCATTATTCTCATGTTAAGTCTTTCAGACAAAGTGACAAAAGCTAGGACATTTTGATTAAAGTGTCCAGGGCAATATCTAACTGCACAGCAGTGTTACTTATGGTACTTATTGTACTGTTTGAATTGCTGGTCTTAATGCAGCTCTGTATTTGAGGGGAAGAAAACGATACAGCTGCCAAAGAACCCTTGTTTTTGTTGCGTCTTTTAAGATATGTAGTTGTATGTTAATACCAATATTTATACAGTGCAGTGCAGTTAATCAGACTTCAGCAATAACACATCAGTTTACAGAACTGAGGAAAAAAAATTGTAAACCAGAGCATGGTTTATAATGGGTTACAAGAGAGGTTATTAGAGACTTACTAACATGCCAATGTTTGTAGTGTGTAGAACTTTTATTATTAGACAGAATAGTGTTTACTAAGTTAGAGCAGCTTATGGAGATGATTTAAGCAAAAAAAAGTGTGTATATATATATTCTAAAATCAAAGTTTAGCTTTTTCATTTTTGATTGAAATGACTGAAGGCTAAAAATTATGATAAGGACTTCCTGAGAACTGTGGTGATGGTGTTATACTGAAGATGTAATTTGTTTGGTCTCTTTCATTAGACTTGCGCACACGTGCACACACACACACATAATAATAATAATTATTATTATTATTTTAATCTCCTAGAACCGAATCCACCTATAGATGAAGTCATCCAAAAACCAGGAGTAGTGCAAAGATTTGTGAAATTTCTAGAAAGGAATGAGAATTACACTCTGCAGGTGAGTCTGGCTGGTACTGCATTAGAATTTGGAATAGAATTAGAAACCCCCAAAACATCATTAGAAATGAAGTCCTTTTTTAATAATGAAATTTAATGATTTTTAGTCATCAAAGATGTAGATCTTAGTTGTCTAAAATGTCAATCATCACGGAAATTAGATCGTGACTCGTCTGATTTTCATAGTAGTCTGTGGGAATATATATTCAACTGGTCAAATAATTGGAAGTGCCACTTCAAAAGCATTTCCAAAGTAGTAAAGCACACAGTGCATCAACACTGATGTGTGAGCAGCATCTCTTCTGTTTGAGTTGGGTACAGAGTACTCCTACTTTTCAGTTGTAATTCACAAAAGAAGAAAAAGACAGAAAACAGACTTGTATGAAATACTTGCAGAAAAATCTTTGAGAAGTTCATAAGAAGATAGTTTCTGCTGCCAGTGGTAGCCGTGGAATGGCACATGGACCTTGTCTGCATTCATGTTAGAAGAATTAATTTTGAATTAATAGTGAGTGTTCATGCCAGTGAATAGAGATTATAATGCAAGTGGTGCAACCAGAGTCTCAAAAACTGCATATATCCTTATTTTTTGAGCTCTGCTAAGTGTCTTCTGTCAATGAAAACTACTTTTTTTGTGTGTGTGAAAAAGAAGGAAAAAAAAAGTGTGTGGGGGGGGGAAGGGCAAAAGAAACCTCTGCAAGCTTTGTAGATTTATTTTGATGCTTATACTTTCTGCTCCTCAACAGTTTGAAGCTGCTTGGGCCCTGACGAATATTGCATCCGGGACTTTTCTGCACACCAAAGTAGTAATTGAAACCGGAGCTGTTCCGATTTTTATTAAGTTACTTAGTTCAGAACATGAAGATGTACAGGAGCAGGTAAGTCTTTTCTTGGGACAATTTAAAATTAATTTGTGAAAATATTTTTTCTTGCCTGATTAAAGGAAATCTGAGCCTCTAATTCTTTACCCTTGCTATTTTTGCCTCTTACTCTGTTTTGTATTTCATGTAATTGAATAATTTGAGAAAGTACCTTATTTCTATTGTGATATTTACAAGTGAAGAGAATTTAAAATATCATAACAGACAAAAATTTATGACTTTTTTTCTTTATTTTCTTACCATCACAAAGTTACCGTGCAGTATTTCTTTTTTACATCCGTTTCCTTTTGTCCTTCCCTTGTATTATTTTACAGCCTTCATTAATATTTTCTTGGTTGAAAAATATATATTTTGGAAAGATGCCGTAGTACACTGGAATACACTTTTACATGATTTTGGAATGCTGGAGAATTTGAGTAGTCAAGGTTTCTGATTTAACACCTTTGATTCTTCATGCGTGGTTTGCATCTTTGAGTCAGTTTAAATGTAGCATTTATTGATAGAATATAAATATTTGAAAATAATATATATACTTTTTGTTGAAAAGCGTACAGATTAACATATTTTTACTAACAGAAGATGTTAGAAGTATGGCTTCCTCTATAAGTATACAATGAATGCAATATAGAAATTAATAGTCTTGAAATTTTGTGTTCAGAATGATGTTGCTAACTTCGACTCCTTCATAATGCCTGATGTAAAAATATGTGGATTATCTGTAATGCACTGTAGATCATCTGTTATGTAAGCATGTATAATTTGATTTAGATATTTCATTTTTCCAGGCAGTGTGGGCTCTCGGTAACATTGCTGGTGATAATGCAGAATGTAGAGACTTTGTTTTAAACTGTGGAATCTTACCACCCCTCTTGGAGTAAGTATTGTAAGGTAATATTGTAACTGTAGTATAGAGCTATAGATAAGTATAAGCTTCAATTTAGAAGTCACTTATTATAAAACTTGTACTTATTTTTAAATTAGAAGTCTTTATTTTTCTTGATCAGAAAATTTAAAATACATGTAGATATGTTTTTGTTTTAAAGACACTGCTGTGAATCTAACATTTCAGATTATATGAACATTATATAACATAATCACTAGAAACTTTCACGTGTTTTCAAAAGATTATTTTAGTGATTTTTTCGAAATGAAGTGTCAAGGGAGCAGCCAAGGAGGACATTATTAGATTTCTGAGTATATAAGGTGGGAGAGGTGATTTAAGCCCTAATTGCGTTTGTGTGGTTCCCACTGGCTCTGCAACTGGTTGTGCTCCCTGGCTTCTCCAGCTTTGTCCACTAACCTCAAGCTTTGGTCTTGCTGTCCATGGGGATGTTGAGATGAGCTGGCAGGATAGTTACTATATTAGCTGTCTTGCACCAGGTTTTCATTCAGTAGGAGAGTTGTTCATAGCTAAACATAGCACTTGCTATGCTAACTTTCTGCTTACGGTAGAATGTAGTATAGCTTCATCGCAAGCAAAAATGTATCCAACAGAAATCTTTGCAGATATAAGATTAATTAAAACAATAAATTTCTTAAAAGCTTTTAGAAAATAGCTTAATATAGAGCAAATGATTAAAAGACTTAAAGTTTTTGATAATTATGGTATGTATCTGAAAGTGAGATTGTTTTTTTCAAATTTTACATCTTTTACTTTCATTAAGCAAAAATAGTCATTTGCTTTTAAGATTTTTCAATTTCTAATATTTTATGGAATTCAAAATTTATATTAAAAAAATAGATTAACTGCATCCTTCTGAAGAATCTCAGGAGAGATTTTTTTTTTTTTTTTTTTTAAATATCAGCAGTGGTGTGTGTTATATGCATTGGAAATGAGTTGTCCTTTCAAAATAACCTATTCAAATTCAGTTCATTCGAAGACAAAAATTGCAGGATGTGAACTATTAAAAGAAATAAACTGAATCTAGTACCCTATAGTAGATTCCTTCCTCTCTCCACCTCCCACCCAAATAATACTACCATGTTAACAACAACACATTAGAAAAAGTTTGAATATCTTTTTGATAACATCGTTTTGTCTCTATTTGACAGACTGTTAACAAATTCAAATCGTCTTACAACAACCAGAAATGCAGTCTGGGCTCTTTCGAATCTCTGTAGAGGAAAGAATCCACCTCCAGACTTCAGTAAGGTATAACAAAAAATTCTCAGAAATCAGGAAACTGAAGGAAATGAACCCACTAGCTTTGTATCTGGGGACTGACTCAATTTTATTACTTTATTGTAATTGTATTCCTCACTATCTGTCTGTTCTCCCCAAACTAATCTATCTCGATACTTGTCAGCAAACAATTGTTACAAACAGTATAATAGGGAAATACTCCACCCAAGTATTATATCATTATTGAGCATGGGTGCTTTGACAATAAAAAGCTTTGTACCTCTGAACTGTTGAAAAGTATTCTCTGAAACATGAAAAAAATAGGAAATACCTGTATCTAGGAAATATTTATGCAATATATATTTATTTATTTTTTCACCTAGGTTGCTCCTTGCTTAAATGTTTTATCAAGACTGTTGTTTAGCAGTGACCCGGATGTGTTAGCAGATGCTTGCTGGGCCCTCTCTTACCTTTCAGATGGACCCAATGATAAAATCCAAGCTGTTATTGATTCTGGAGTATGCCGAAGACTGGTAGAGTTGCTGATGTAAGTACTCTCTTAATGAAATAAATGTCTCACAGCATTCTTAATATTAATGAATTTGAAGGGAGTTGAGCTCTCCGTAAGGAGATGTCCTCCTGTTGTTTTTGATGCTTTTTCACCTCAAGTCTGAACTTTCTTCAGTAGGAAGTAATGAACGTGAACTCGGTCTGAAAGATTTTCTGCTACTTGCTAGGGTTGGCTACTTGCTTTGGGATTTTTCCTGTGATTAATAGTGTAAGAGGCTTTTTTTTTTTTTCCCCCAAAGTACTCCTTTTTATTCTTTAAACTTTAGTGTAGGAATCATCTGCTTGTAGCAGTTGGAAGGTTAAGGCTGAAGACCAAGCTTAGGGTGTTAAATTTATTTCTCAGCTTGATTTTTTTTTTTTATGTCAGTGATTTTGTTTTGTTTTGTTTTTCTCTACCAGTAATGCCATCTTCTAGGAGATGAAGTTGAAATGTAGTGAGGTCTGGGACAGCCCAAGTCTAGAGACAGGCTTTAGCCATGGTTCTGCAGTAGTTGTTTTGAACCATTCAAGAATACTTGTTTTATGGTTATTTCCCTAGAAAAGGAGGAGAAATCCATATGTTCATATGAGGCCTGCAGAATAGTGGTATCGGTGATAGTAGTTCCCAGCACTGACAGCTGAGCATAACTCTGTATTATTTGTGTAATTGTCAGGAGAGGGTAAAATGGCCTTTTCACCTTCAAGTGCTTCAAGAAGACTGAGTAGACCTCTCAGTACCTCATTCCCCTATTCAGTAGTTGAATATGGGCTTAGTATGTTGGTTTCTGTGGTCATTCACTTGCAAAGGAGGGCAAGTTTCTTGAACAGGCTGTAGTGTGTAACTATTGACACACCTTGGGTCTGTGAGCCTGTCAGATGGGGCAGTTTCCAGATTTGTGTTCAGTAGTCCTGGAGGTGGGTGAAGTGCTCATGCCCTCAGGTTGTAGGCAGCATCCCCTGTACAAACTGCTGCTCTTCTGCTCAGCAGAGGCAAGGTTTGTTGTTCCTTAAAGATGCCTTTTCTATGACTAGGCAATTGAGTTATGAGTTTACAGTTGACAAATTTGGCGAAGTAGAAAGGAATTATAAGAAATGAACAGTGGTTTCAGTGGTAGATAAAAATTTAGCATCTAAAGTAAACCATTGTTGACTGAAAATGCAAAAATACAGCATGACATTTGGTAACATCAAAGAATTTAACATTTGTAATATCTCCAGGCATAATGATTACAAGGTGGTGTCCCCTGCACTAAGAGCAGTTGGAAATATTGTTACTGGCGATGATATCCAAACGCAGGTAAGTCTAATTGATTAAAGAAAAGTAAATTGCCAGGAATAAAAAGGGATATGGAATTTTGTAGAAATTAATTGCAAAAATGCTTCATTGAAAGAGGCTCCGTATAAATATACTTTGTTTATTATACTGCCAGTCTGGCATCAGCTTAGACTGCAATTTTGAACACTAAATTATTGCAAGAACTGACTTTATACAGCAACATATGAAGTTGGTTAGAAACTTTTATTTCTTAGTAGAGGTTCTGTTATATTATTGCTACTTTTTTTTTCTTTTTTTTGGAAGTCTTAAAATGCTGTCAAGCTTTCACTTTTCATAAGCACTTCCCATACTCAGTTTGTGCATGAAAGTAATGGTCTTCCTGATGCAACTTGTCCTGAAGATTCTTGTTAGGCAGCGGAAGCAATGTAAGAAATACTACCATGATAGATCTCGTTTTGAAGAAAATTGTGTCCAAAAGCCCATACGTGGAAAATAAGGAATTTGGTTAAGTGCTTATTTTGCTCTGGGCCTCCTATAAAAGGCTTTTACTAAGGAATTAAATAAAAGATGTAGGTAGCCTTTCAAAAAATGTGAACAAATTAGGTTTAAACTTTTCAATTGTTAAGGTTATGTTCTAGTGTTAAGCAACCTTATTAAGTCTTGCTGTTTTTAGTCTCCGTGATTTTGAGGTCAGATCCTTTCAAATAATTGCATTGTTTATTCAAACACTGAAGCATTGAGAACCTTCATTTTGCAAGATGTTATCTATGACATTTTGTAAAGCAAGAAACTGTTGCAAAATCTGTTCCTTTGGATGTTATCTGTGAATTTTTTTTTTTTAATTGTACAAACACATTTTCAATTCTCTAATTATTTTAGGTGATCCTAAATTGCTCTGCATTGCCCTGTCTCTTGCACTTGCTGAGTAGTCCCAAGGAATCTATTCGAAAAGAAGCATGTTGGACTGTTTCTAATATTACTGCAGGAAACAGAGCGCAGATTCAGGTAACAGCCTGTATATTAGGAATTGGGTGGATTGTTTGTTTGATTGGTTTTATCACATGATTTTTGAGTTCACATAACTTTTGAGAAATAAATAGGTGTTAAATTAACTCTGCATTATTTTAGTCCTGTTTATAATTGTATTCACCTTCTGAGTTGTTTGTTAATTTAGAACAAAAATTATAACTTTTAAAATAATATTTATCATAAATGGTGCTAGAGAGGATGATTTGAATTCTTGAAGGAGTTTCATATTCTTACAGAAGAAATGAAAAGATACCTCAAATATTCTCTTAGATTTAATATCAACGTTTGCTGTTTTTTCCTTTGGTGCATCATCTAATAATATATTCTCTTTAATTTTGTTATGCTTTGATGTGTATGTTGTTAATGTAATGGCATTTTTTCTGTTTTAAAAGTTCAACAGAAACATCTCTTCCAACAAATCTAATGGAAAGAGGACCATTCTACCAATTCAGTTTATTTTGGAGTGCTGCCTATTTTGCGTGTTTGTTTCAGAAAATTGTCATTAATACTGGTCTTATTAGATCCTAGTTATTTATCCAGTGATCAATCTAATATTATTACTTGGAAAAGAGAAAAAGGTTCTGTCAGACTTTCAAAAAACAGTCTGAATTAGTATGATTTTTTTTCTCTCTTCTTCTTCCTGAATCACCAGTGAAAGTGTTATTTGCCTGAAGAATTCTTAAGTGTAGTTATACAGTCTCCAATTACAGACATACTTTTACCAAAACTGCAGACCTGAATAAAAAGGCCAGAGTAAAGATTTGTTTCAAGGTGCTGTAGGTCTCTTAGGTCCTCTTTTAACATACAATAAAACTTTTAAGCAAGCTTATTCTTGTCCAATTGTAAAAAAATGAAATCAGCAAAGAAAATATTCCCAAAGCTTGCATGGTACAGTGTTTGAACAGATATGAGTAACAGTTCAGAATTCCTAACCTGGTGCTTTCTTGTTAGAGAACAAAACATTGCACCTTTTGATACAAACAGATTTGTGAAATTTACTGGAAGAGCTTTCAGTGCTCCATTCTGATATATATTTCTTAATTATCATAAAATCTCATAATTTCTTCTTCTAGGCTGTTATAGATGCAAATATTTTTCCAATATTGATTGAAATTCTTCAGAAAGCTGAATTTCGCACCCGAAAAGAAGCAGCGTGGGCCATAACTAATGCAACATCAGGAGGAACCCCTGAACAGATTAGGTAATTCATTTGTGCACGCTGCTCTTAGCCTAAGTAACTTTTCTAAGGAGCTTTTATTTCTTCAGTTGCATCCTAACAAACATAGCAATAAAACCCTAAGCACAACTTCAATTTCTTGAAACTCTTGTCTGTGCACAAACCTGTGATAATCAGAAAAAGGAATAAAAGGTATCCAGTAGGTATAACAGTACGTTGACAGAAGTTGCTTTGTTTCAGCGGTGTTAATTCTGTGGAAGCTTTAGGCATAACCTCCAGAATTGATGTTTCCTAGTCAAACACAGTTTAAATAGTTCATGAATAGCTGCAGTGTCTGAAAATGGAAAAATGTGTGCTACAAGGCTCTATCTACAGAGAAACTTCCAAAATATTACCGTTTCTTCATGTATTTTAGATTCATTCTCTGCATTATTTTCAAACATATTATCAAGCTTTTTCTTCAAAACTGTATTGATATATAAAAATATATCAATATTGATATATTGATATGATTACTATCAGCAGCTATTCATGTACTGCGAAGATAAGACAACTAAAATCAAGTACTCTGTAGGTGCTCTGAATGCTGTTTGTTTAGTTTTTATTAGTAGTTAACATAGGGGTTACAAAATGACAATATAATATTTAGAAGGCAGAACTGAAAGTGATACAATAAATCCTCCAAGATATTTGTGAAATACATGCATGTTTATTGGAACCTTAGATCATTTCAATTTTCTTAAAACTGGTAAATGTTATCAGACAGAAGGAAAGTTTGTTATTGTAATTATTTGCATAACTTAGCTTATAAAATTTTAGCATATTTAATACAAATTTTAATGCAGGATCTTGGAATAGTAAATATGCATATAACAGCATAAACATAGCATCTTATCACAGAATCCATACCATCTCTTTCATGAAATTTTAGCCCTTTTAACATCCTCCAGATACTACCCTCAGACTTGCAAGATGTTCTACGTTCTCTAATTAACTGCATTCAGACAACCTTGTTGTCTTGCCTGCCAGCAGGCAAGCACTGCTGGCTTCGTTTTACTTGCATGGCAGGAACAAGGACAAAGGTTCTGAGTTCCCAAAGTCCACAAAGTTGAGAAGAGGAGCAGGTTACTCAGAATCTTCATGTTCTGATATATTCACAACAAAATCATGTCCTTCCCATTAGAGCGGGTAAAACTAAACCTTAACAGGCTGTTAGTACAAACTGAGCTGCTCTGGATCACTGTTCTTATCTCTTTGTAACATGTTACGTGTTGGTTTTGCCTCTGTAAACATTCTTAGTGCTTGAAAAAGGAACTTACTAACTTTCTCCCATATACTCAGTCAAACAACTGAAAATTTTACATAAAAAGAATTTGAAGACGTTCTTAACTGAAATGTAGCATTAGTAGAATATACATGTTAAATTTTCTCATTAGGATAAATTAGCTTTGCTCTATTTGAGACTAAGTTTATTTTTATGTTGTTGCATGCTTCATAAATGTTGCTTAAGCCACTTGTTTTTTTTTTTAAGCAAAATGCTGATAAAATGACATCTCAGAATAAATGTGCTGAATTATCACCTTTACCCTCTCCCCTCTGTTTTTCTGCTGTTATAAAGGTATTTGGTAGCATTAGGTTGTACCAAGCCTCTCTGTGATCTCCTGACTGTGATGGATTCAAAGATAGTACAGGTGGCTTTAAATGGACTTGAAAATATTCTGCGTCTTGGAGAACAGGAGTCTAAGCAGAATGGAATGGGCATTAATCCTTATTGTGCCCTTATAGAGGAAGCATATGGTAAGAATGTACTTATTTTAAAACCTGCATATCTTAAATTCCATATTTCAGGCTGTGAAAACAAAACTATTGCCAACTATTTGTGTGAGAGTTTTAGGCAGGTATAATGGAAGAATTTTCAAGTATAACTGGACATTAATCACTACAAATTGAATAATGTAACATGGTGGGAAAACTACTTAAATGCATTTTTTTTTCTCTTGCCTGTGATCAGTTCGAAATACTCTTTTAGAAAAACATTCTCAGAAGCATTTAATGCACAGATATCATATTGCACAATTTTACCCTCAATTGTAAAATGTTTATTAATATATGCACCTATTGCATACAGTTTTGTTACAGATAGGATGCAAGATCAGAGTTTGTCTTAGTTCTTTTGATCTATAACTTTATTTTAGATACTAACTGGGACTTCTCTTTGCTTGCTTGGTGGGGTTTTTTTTTTTGGTGGTGGAGGTGGTGCTATTTGTTTCTTTTATTCTCAAAGTTGATCATTTCTTAGCATGCCAAATACCAATAATAGCAAGAATCTACCTCAGATCGTGATATGAAGTAGATTATAGTTACTTCTGAAAATACTTGCTTCTGCTTTTAAGAAATTTGAATTCAACTACTTTTAAACATCAGAGTATCAAGGTTAAAAATATATTTGTGAAACTCCAACTGGATGCTTTTGATTTGACAAAATATTAAAACTGAACCTGTCATTATTTGTGGAGGCTCCTTTTTTTCATTCTCTTTCTAAGAAGAGAAAATTGACAGGCCTTTTTGTTTCAGAAACTGTATATAGGTCTGGCTGGCTATATTATATCCGATTAAATACTAATAACTTTTCTGTAAGATGGTCATTAAATTTGAATACCTTTTCAAAGGGATTTTTTAGCTTTTTAGTAACATTTTTAGTTACATTTCTAAAATGAAATATGATTCTGTGCATTAGCAAACCTACTTTGCCATCTAACTTGGAAGATGAACACATGTTTAGTAGTTTAATGTAACTTAACTATGAAGAGACTTGAGATCTTTGAAAGTGGAAAGAATTTCCATGATTGGGTTTAGGGTGCTTTTGAGGGGGTAACACCCTCTGAGAGAAGTTAATGCTGCTGCAGAGATGCGAAGGTTGTCACAGAGCAGCAGAGGTTCCCATTTCCTGTTGTACTTGATGACTTTGGCAGTAGTTAGTCCGGGGAACCAGCTGCGCTGGCTTCTGGCGTCGCCCGCCTTCGGATCCTCGAGTGACCAGAGGAGACCTTCCTAGGCCAGCTCAGGGGAGAGCTGCTTTGTCTCAGCTCAGACCTCCCAGTCAGCCGTTTAACCTGACTGACTCTGCTAAAAGTAGAGGGCCTGGGGGAACAGAGACTTGCATGGTGCTCTGCTGGGGCAGAGTTGTGTAGGTGATGCCCTCCAAATTTGAAAACTTGGAATGTAAATTTGAAAATACAAATAAAATTGAAAACAAGAAACCTCCAGGAAAAAGACTGCAGCCAGTGATGAATGAGGGGATAGAACTACTTGAAGCTTAAAATTAAACCCCTTGTATCAAAAGAAATGAGGATACAAGAAGTTACTCTAGCAAGCAATTTTATACTGTTCTGATTTTAAATCTACAGATAATGTCTTTCCCTAGAGACAGACATGGTGTATTTCTTTTGCGTCTCACAGCTCTTTACTCATGTTAGTATCCTTTTAATACAATCCTTAAAGTTAGAGTCTGGAAATACTAAATTCAATAATCTGTCTTAATTAGGCACACTTTGTGCAGAAAAACGAAAAATGAGTATTAGTTTCTGAATAGCCATGGAAGGGAAAAACACTTTTTTGTGAGGATTGTGAGGGATAGTGACTGAAATCAGATGGCTTACGGTTTGTTTTTTTAGTTTGAGAAGTACCACTAAGGTTTTCTATTACAAGCTGTTTCATTATTCTTTGAGTCTTTAGAAGTAACTAGATTTTGAAAAAAGTTCTGTTTTTAATTTAGGACTTGATAAAATTGAGTTTCTTCAGAGACATGAAAACCAAGAGATCTACCAGAAGGCTTTTGAACTCATAGAACATTACTTTGGTGTCGAAGAAGAGGATTCCAGTATTGCACCTCAGGTGGATGAAAGTCAACAGCAGTTTGTGTTTCAACAGCAGGAGGCTCCAATGGAGGGGTTTCAACTATAAAAAGAATAAGTGAAGACAAGCATAACATGTAAACACCTGCAGGTTCTTGTTTTTAAGAGATCTCTTCTTTATGGCCAAAGCGAGAGAAAAAGTTGAATTATGTTTTTTTCACAGGCGAAGCAGCAGCTCATGCACTTTTATACATTTTGTTAGATACAATTGTTGATTTTTGTTTTGTATCTGTCTTTGTTTTTCATTATCTCGTGTACAGAAAACGACTGTGAGTAATCATGTCTTCAGTAAAGCATTAAATGTGATTTAACAAGGACTGTTAAGCTAAGACACAGTAAGGCTTTGAGTAGAAGTTCTGAGTTTCTTCTGTAGTCTCCAACTGCGTTTCAGCAATACTGCTACTGCCAGCTGCAGTTCTGGCAGGAGGCTCGACTTGCCCGGTCTCTAGGCTCGACTTGCCCGGTCTCTAGGCTCGACTTGCCCGGTCTCTAGGCTCGACTTGCCCGGTCTCTAGGCTCGACTTGCCCGGTCTCTATCAAATCTACCTCTTGTATTGAAGCAGAACCATTGCTTCAGAACTAAGGCATGAAATAAAGATGAGCTTGTGAGAAGCCGAATTGGAATGTGAAAAATATTTATTTAAATTGTAAAAACTTTTCTGCTTTACTTAGCACACTGTTGAAATTTATTTATGAAGTATATTTAAAGGCGTAATAGATATATAACGCGAATTATGTAATATAATATTAACTATATGAAGAAGCTTTTTCTGATGTGCACAGGAAGAGGACTGTTTCAGAGGCTGTCAAATCGGAGTCAGCAGAGAGCTTGCGGGCCATTTGATGCCAGCTCCGTAACTCGAGCTGCTAAATGGCATTAAAAGTCAGCCACAAATGTAACACTTTGCTGTGGAAGCAGTTGCTGTAGTTACCACGAGAAAGCCGTGATGATGAATGGGAGAGATGGCGATTTGCACCGTGGCAAATACCAGGCAGGTGGTTTGCAGCCGTCTCCTGTAAGCACGTGGTAACGCTGTTGTGGTTTGAGACACCTTGCAGCGTTTGCCCTAGTAACAGTAGCTTTGGGGAGAGGGTAGCTGTCACATTTTTGACCAAACATGTTGCCACCACTTGAATTTTTTAACTTAGTTTTCTTGGTTTTCTTTTGGTGATACAGTAGAAATGCTGCAGTGAAAAATGGGGAGCGAATGGCTCCTTTCCAGTTGAACGAAAAGTTTGTTGTGCTGTAAATAGAGTTAGGTATGTGGACACCAAACTAAGGTTACTGTCTTCTGAGCATTTATGTTTTACAAAGCAGTGTGTGCTGCTAAGCACTAAGATAAATAGTATTCTGATATTTACATTAACCATTTTAAATACAGAAGTGTATGCCCTGCTTGGACTTGCATATTAGTAGTGTTTTTTGGCATATTAGTACTGTGTCTCATTTGGAGAAATTAATTCTTTGGGTTACTTAAGATGAGTTTTATCTGTATTTAATGTATTGATTCCAAACTTCTGGGTTAAGTGAAATCTTTGATATGAGAGCATTTCATGCTTTATAAAAGCTGCAATTTAAACTTAGAAAATACTTTTCCCATGGCACTGTGCTTGTTACTAAGTAATATTTTAATGCACTGAGAAATGCAGGTTAAAGATTATATCATTTATAGTACCATTTTATATTTAGATTTTTTTTATGTGCAAGCTAAGATTCATAAGACGTTTCACTTTGCTACAGCAATACATACTATACTGTAATTGAATGTGGGACTTGAAGTGGATTTTTTTTTTTTTTTTTTTAAGATTAATGGTCAGTTTTGACTAAGATGTAACTGGGAGGGAAGAAACCTCTTGAAATTTTTACTGGAAGTTAGAGGTCTGTTAAAAGTGTATATAGGAGTGCTGTTACTTTATGAACTCTGAATAATGAGATATTTTAGCAAATGACACTTTAAGCCTAGATTTGTATAGCATACAGCAGTTTTGAATAGTGTGATAATACTGAGTACAGCTGCCAAATTTTCATATAATGTTAGATGATTGTATTTGTGCCCTTTTTACTCTTACAATTTTCGTTTTTGTATTCTGACTTCCTCCTCCCCCTGCCCCATCTGCTCAAAGTACAGGGTAATGATCATGGAAATGTACCAGGATTGCTAGGAAATACTGGATTTCAATGTTCTTTGAGGGTAAGAAAATTAATCAGGTAACAGGGTATGCCGTTGCTTCTAACAGACTTGTTTTGGTAATATTCTGTAACTATCTGTGCCTGCTTTTTGTTCGGAGGACCCTGTGAACACAGCATTTGTAAACCTCATCTCTAAGCCAAATCTTGATTAAAAGACTATGAATGGCTGATGTTTTATAAACTGTAAGAAATACAATAGGAATCTTGATTGAAAGACTTCAAAATGGATAGGAGAGAGGACATTTAAAGTATTAAATTTGTTTTGAACGAGTGTCTTGAGTTTGATATGTTAGTCTGTATGTCTGAGCAGTTAGTGATTGCACTTTATGCATTTAGATTAACTATCTCCGCCTCTGATACACCAAAAGTAATAGTTTAGAAGGGAACTGAAATTGATTGGCTTTAGTAATGAAAAACATTATTTAGCCTTAGCTAAATAACGGCTTACCCTAAATTTTGTTTTAAAGAAGGAATGAAAAGGCTGTATGAGCTGTTCTGTAAAGGATAAGTGAACGGGAGGCCTCCCCTCGGGCTCGTGAGCGGCGGCTGTGGGGCCGGGCGCGCCGGCGGCTTGTCCATAGGGAGCGGCTGGAGCCCACGGAGCTGCTCCCGGGCCGGCGGGAAGGATGAGACCTCGTCACAGGTTCGGCATTTAAATCCAAGGGGAAGTTCTGAAGTGCCCCACCGGATACAAAGGCTGGTTAGAAGTACAGTTTGGGGGGCTTCTCTTAAGAGGGTACCATTTATTTTTACTTAAATGTGAATAATAACTAGTTAATCTATGCAACTATGCAAAGCTTACCCTTTTTTTTTTTCTTTTTTTATTTATTCCCTTCTCTGGTGCACTGAATCATATCTAAGTTTTTTTCCACATGGCACTTTTGTCTGAGGACTGGTTCATACAGCTTTTTAATTTTCTAGTATTTGCTTTGAACGCTGTTGCTAGCAGCAACCAGAAGACTAATAATGTTGGCACAGAAGTTAGCTAGAGAACAAGTTTGCAACTGGGAAATATGTATTGTCGGGTCTGTCTGCTTATCTGAAAAGATGCACTATTGTCTTTGCTCCCTGGTTCGTTCTCAACTGGTTTAAATTTCTTAAATTGCAGGAATGATGGGTTTTGTAGTGGGGCGGTCAGTTGTTTTATGAAGTTTTAACTCTGACCCCTAGAGTTCACTAGACTCTGGAATAAGAAATTTCAGTTATTTACAGCACGACATCTTCATGTAATATTGTGAAATTAAAATACCTGTATTGACTTCAGATAATAATAGTGCATCTTTAAATCCAGGCCCAAGGCCCATTACTGTAACAAAACACATATGAGTAGTATGCAATATTATGGAATGTTACAACTCCAAATATCATACGGAAACCAATAAAACCTATTTTACACACGTTTTTGTATTTATTTTAGTGGTCAGTAAGTGTGGCTGATTAAAGCAGAAAATAAAATGTCATTTTGAGTGCAGCGTTGAGGCTGCTTTGAACTGTTTGGCTTGTGCCCTTTTGGACTTGGCCCCCTATCGCCTGAGAGAGAACTTCTTCTATTCGCATCAAGTAGGTTTTGCAACTGTCTAGCCAAAAGAGGACTCTTTGGTGGTCATAGACTCCCCCCACACACATCCACGACTCAAAACTGCTTTCAAAATTCTCATGAAGTTAAGAAAGAAATGAGAATTTGTAAGATTATCAGTGTGCTCCCCGTGCCCTTGCTTCCCCCAGCCTTTCCTGGTAAGATGTGACAAGTTCTGGCTTGTTGCTGTTTGTTCTTTGTTTAGAACTGCAACAGTGAATCATGTAAGTCTCCTCCTGGCAGTTCTAGTAATCTCGCTTCAGTACTCCTTGGCCTTTGCAAAATTGCACCCTTCATTGAAAAATTTGACTAGTTTGTGTGAAAGAAGCTTCCAGTCAAGCATGGGAAGGATGGGGTTTTCGGGCAAAGAGCAGAAATGTGGCTCCTCATGCCATACATCTCTGGAAACTTCCTCATCTCTTGAAATTGATTACAGAATCACAGAAAGTTTAAGGTTGGCAGGGACTCTAGAGATCACCTAGTCCAACCTTCCTGCTCCAGCAGGGACACCCAAAGCACGGGGCACAGGGTGGCATCCAGGTGGGGTTTGAAGACCACCAGAGAAGGAGACTCCATTAACCTCCCTGGGCAGCCTGTTCCAAATTACTGATTTTAATTGTGTGTGGCACATTTACCTAATTCTAATCATGTACAACAGAGACCCTACGTCTTGTAACTACTGCCACTGCTTGGCTGCAGCCTGACTGCAATATTACAGTTAATACAATAATATTAGGGTTGAAGCTAATCTCATTCGAGTTGATGCTAGTATCATTCGAGTTGCCATTGGTATCGTTAGCGTTGCTAAAAGCAGAGAGATGCTGCTGCAGTCGCCCCTCTAGCAGTGCCGCTCGCCGCTTATCCAGGGACGCGGCTCGCGGTCTCGCACCTACCGCGGGCTCTGGAGCTGCCGGCAGAGCTACTTGTCCTTGGACTCGGCTGCCAGCGCCGCCTCCTGGCGCCACTTGGCCTTCTTGGCCAGGTTCCAGCTCGTGAGGGACTCGTGGCGCGCGGCTGCCTGCGGACAGGGGACGGATGCATCACAACCCTGGCAGCGGCGGTAGATGCAGGCTTGTCTCTATGAGCTTCCCCTACGCGTCCGGCGCTTCCCAGTGCCCGACGTGTCCGGTGTTCGGGTGGCTGGCGCCGCACTCACCTTCTTAGCCGAAGCGATCACAGCGAAGCAGGCGACGATGGAGAGGCCGATCATTATGTAACAGGCCTTGACGCGAGCTTTGTTCCGGGCCCTGTCTAGCATCTCCGGCCTGCAAGTGAAGTTGGGAAGCGTTACAAAACGGAGCCAAGGGACTTTTCGTGGGCATAATGTCACAGCTGAAGAATAAACATCAAATTAGCTCCGAAAGGCAGCATCTCCAGGTTGCTGTAATGACTGCTCCTGTGCCGTCAAGAACTTTGCATTTTCTGATCTTAGTCCATTTTCAGTGGAAAAGCGTCATTCGGTGGATAAAAACTGACATTTATTTATTTATTTATTTATTTATTTTTTGCTCAAGCAATAAACACTTGCATTTGAATACTTTAGGACAAGTACACTGGAAACTGTACCTTATACCCTATAGATGTATTGAAATTTAAATATTTTAGTACTTTTTAATGGAGGACTATATTAACTTTCCAAATGACCTTTTGAAATGAATAGCAGTAACATCTAACCTGTTTGAATGATACCCTGTATACAGTAGGTTAGTGATTTTACGTGTTCAGATATTAAAGGAATATAAAGCTACTAGTTTTGTTTGAACTAGTTTTGTTTGAACAACACAACTAGTTGTTTGAACAAAACTAGTTTGTTAGAACAAAACTAGTGTTTTGTTCTGATTTTCAGTCAGCTCTCCTTTAGAAAAGCAGCAGCTCTGTCATTTAAAGGGTTCTTTTTCCTCACTACTTGGAGGAGGGTAGCCCTAAGAATGAACAATCCACGTGATCTTTTTTTCATATGCATTAAAAGCAAAAAGTAATGAATGTTTTGCCATTCATTAGGCTGTCATTCCTACAAGAGACACTTTACTCCCCAGCACCTCAATTTGTAGAACCCTTATTTAAAGTATTTTTATTATTATTTTTTATGTTTCCGAAAATGGCAGTAGGCTGGATGCTTCTGAGAACTAGGTGGGAAGAAAATCTCTATCTCCTTAAAATTTTCACCAAGCCTTCAGCACAGCTATTTTCTGGAAATGCTATTTTTAATGTCCATTGCATTTCTGGCATTAAGAACTTCAAAAAAGAGTACACAAGCAGCTGTCTTTAGTTAGTTAGTTAGTTAGTTAGTTAGTTAGTTAGTTAGTTAGTTTTTGCATCTCAAAGCATGTTGAGTTGCTTTATTTATATTTAAAATGGATCACTATATGAAGAACCTATAGCTTTACTTGCTGCAACTTGCTGTCTTTCTCCCCTAAGCAACTTCACCTTTGAAGCAACTTCACCTCCGGCCTGGAGCAGGAGACCCCGGGCGCCTATTCATGTTTAGGGCGGCAGTTTGATGGAGGAAGTCTGAAATGAGAGCCCGCGGGCTGCAGAGCTCCCCTCTAGGGCCCTAAGGTCCCAGCGAAGGGCCAGCCCCAGAGGCACCTGCTGGGCTCTTCCCACCTGGAGCTGCATATGCCAGGTGAAGGTTGTTGGGCACCGGCTCCTCCAGGGCACCCGTGGGACAAGCGGCCCCTCTGGGGTGTGCAGAGTCAGTGCACGGTCTGTTACAGAAACACCCCGCAAAACGGACTAGTGCGTGATACCGTTAATCTGGATTCCCTTTGTAGCAGCAAAAGGAAAAACGCCAATCTTGTTAGTCCACCTCCTTAATGCTATTACATTTCACAGTGCACTGACTGAATCAGCTTTTCACTTTCTCCCTGCTTTCTATCTCTGCCAAAAGAGAAAACAGACCTCATTATGATTTCCTTTAATCTTACATTAGGACAGTTATTAATCTCTAATTAAGACTCTGCTGAAGTCGCTAACAACTGAATAAAGAGTGTAGCTGTGCTCTGGGTACAAAACACCTTCCACAGAAAGATTCCCAGATAACAGAACCCGACCATTAAGTGTTTTATTTTAACAGCTAAAGTAACGACAGTGTTCAGCTACAATGATTCAGAATTGCCTTCTTTCAATATATTATGATTTATGAACTCTGGAGAGAGAACAAGGCAGCGAGCAGCAATGCTCAGGCTTCCCGCGCTCGGCAGCTCCCATGGGGAGAACAACTTGGAGCGAGGCAAGGGGAGCAGCGGAACTAATGGATCAGCCAGAACGGGAGGCCAAGACCATGCCAAGTATTCGGTTTACTTTGGATTTGCCTTGGGAGGGTGATGATTCTCTCATAACCTCTGCATCTATTTTTTCCTCTGTTTCCTTCAACCTATAGTAAGTTGCAACTTGTTTGTTGTAATCACGCAGTGGCTGCCAGCTCCTTTAGAGCTGTTTACATGCACTGTAAATGGAAAATGCCATTCACTTAATAATGTCCTTCTCTGCTTACGTATTTGCAATAAGTAAAATAAATCAGTTAGGCTATAAATGTAACTGGGGCTAGCAGCTGAGCTGGAGCCAGTTCTTAGTCCCAGGCTCTGGGGACAGTAGTAAATCCTTAATCCAGAATCAGCAAAAGATGCCTCAAGTTACAAAGAGAGACAGAAAGAAAACACAGTCCAGAAAACTCTTCAGGCCAGATATCCTTTAAATTTCTACATTAACATAGATTTTTAGAAATTATCTTTCTTTATGGATTCTTTTTTTCTGCATTTAAGTCAGTGGCAACCGCTATCATGCCTCCACTTAAGCTCTTCCAGTTTTTGCAGGATGTCAGCATTTCCCTAAACATCCTTAGGGCGCGAGTCCACAAGCAGCGGGGGAGCCAACACGATGCTGGAGTCAGCGATACAGAGCACAGAGGACGCCTGTGCCTCCTATGTGAGCGTCGAAACCGCGATACAAGGAGGCTTTGGGCATGAAGGAGCAGGAGGAGCGAGCGTGTGGCTGGTTCGGAGAGGCGGCTGGAGCCACTCGGAAGCTGGAGCTGGTGCCTCTCTCTGGACGAGTCTCCAACACTGCTCCTTAGCAGCTCCTCTTCCCTAAGAGAGTGATCACCCGCTAGGATTTCTGTCAGTGCATTTAAGCACTGGTCACTGTCACACATTACTGTAATGTATTGGCATAATGTAAGACACGTATGAAATATATTTTTTTCTCAGAAATAATTTTCAAAAATTCTGGTTTTGATTATTTTTTTTTATTTTAATCTCCCTCCCCTAGGAAACCACAGCAGGAAATCCAGGGTAGCCTTCAACTGCCAAAACCAGAGCAGGTAGCATGTGCTGGGATCACTCTTTAACAGACCATTTCCTTCCCCTGGCCCCAGCCTTCAATTCCTGGGATCAAACTGTAGCTAAGTCTAGAAGGAATATCCTCCAAATACCACATTCATGCTGCACAGTAAAGATCTGCAGAATCATAGGGATGGCAATGGATGCAAAAGTAAGCTTGACATCCTAACCCGAGCCCTGGATCTCAGAGACCACTTCTAGGACTGCTTCTGCCTTTTTTCAGGGGCTGCATCACCCACAAAAGCAGAGAGCATCCTCGCTACGTGATTATTAGGCACAGTTATAAGAATAAGAGAATCAAAATTCCCTGTGTCTCACTGCTTTTTACAGAAAATGCTTCTGCCTTCTATTTTTTTTCCCCTCAAGTTTCCAGTGTTCAAACTTATGAGAAAAGCCTCATACACGGGCACATCCCCACACCTCCTTCTCCTCAGCTCCACTGCTCTGAGGTAGCGACCCCAATACTCACGGGATCCTCGGAGGAATCTCATCTTCCGTCTTGAAGCGGCCGGTCCAGAGGAGGATCTTTTTGTCAAACTTGGACGGCTTGTAGCTTGCGGCCACCTTGTGAGCCTGCTCGGCTTGAGGCCAGAGAGAAAACGCAGAGAACACCCCATTAAACACCCCGTTTAACACCCCGCGCGCGGAGAGCGAGGGCAGCAAGTGCAGCGGGGACCCCCGCCCCGGCCCGCGCTCTTACCGCGGCTGCAGCCGCCCACGCTGCGCGCCCCGTGCCCCGCGCCCCGGCCACCCGCAACTCCGGGCGCCTGCGGCACGCGGGGCACAAGGCGCAGGCGGGCGGGCAGCATCGCCCCGGCAGCCGCTCCCGCCGCGCGGCCGCTCCTGGCCCGCAACCCCGCCGCCGCCCCCGGCCCGGCCCGGCCCACGGCCCAGCCCTCCTTCCCCTCCTCCCCTCTCCTCCTCTTCCCTCCTCCTCTCTCCTCTCCTCTCCTGTGCTCTCCTCAAGGCAGAGAAGCTCCAGTCCCCTAATCCTCTTGGACACTCGTCGCTACACTCTCTCCCGTTCCTCCCTTTCCCCTGGCCACATGGCCACATTGCTGGCTCAACATCAACCTATTGTCCACCAAGACTCCCACGTCCTTCTCTGCAGAGTTGCTCCCTCGCAGCTCACACCACCGCCTGTCCTGGTGCACTGCCTTCTTCCTGCCTCCATGCAGCACCCTCAATTTGCATCTCTTGAACCTCAGAAGGTTCCTCTCTCATAGAGTCCTATGCCGTCCCTCTCGTCACGGAGCCCCTGCTGGTGCTCAGGCTTCCTGACAGAGCTGGCAGGGGACTCCCAACAAGGCACAGCTCAGCACTGCCTTGAGCACAAGTGCTTTGCTGCTCCTCCTGTACCTGCTGTGACAATAAGGGGGATTGTGATCAAGGGCTTTCTGTCTGTCTTTCCATGACCACCATGCTCAGCAGCGTGACTTTGATGTGGTGGTGATGCCCTTGGTGAGGTTCCTGGCGGGCAGGGCTATGCAGCAAGCTTGCCAGGAACTGGAGGAGGAGGAAGAGGTGGCGGACCGCGGCGATCATCAGCTCATGGATCCAGATGGGCGCAACACCGAGCTCGCCCGCTGCCTGGAAGAGCGGCAGAGGTGCTGCATAGAGCACAAGGTAGGAGCCTGTGCAAAGAGCTGCAGGAGCCTGTGCAAATGGTGCTGGTTAGAGAGCAAAGCGCTTGCAGCAGGGCCGGGCAAGCTGKGCAAGAAGGGCGCTTTGCCCCAGCGGCTCCTGCCAGCTTGGGCTGCCCACCCTCAGCTCACCGCAGTGCTCCCCATCGCCTTGCAGAAAGGAAGGAGCAAGAGCCAAGGGAGCAAATATCTAACGGGCGACATTGTCTTGGCAGAAATGGCCTGCAGAGCAGCAGAACTGTGTGCTGCAGAGAAGGGGCAAGAGCCCCAAGCAGAGCGCAGCCCAGGCGCCAGCTCAGCATCATCCGCCTGGATCCACCTCCTCACACCTCAGAAGGTTTCCCAAGCGCCGGCATGTCAGCCGCCCAGCAGAGACTGGTTAGTATTGGTGGTGTTTTGTCTGGGTGACCTGATGAATAGAGCAGTTAAGAGASGCGGGAAGACAGCTTGCAGACCTTCCTGGGTTTAACGTTCTCACCGCGTGCAAAGAGCACAACCTGGAGACAATAAGCGTGAGCGGAGACTTGTTAGTCACAGACACTGAGG